AGAGCAAGGTATTGGGGGGTGTTTACACCCTAGGATACCCTTGTTCTGCCCCACAGAAATCTTTAGGAATTGAAGGGGATCCTATGCTGTTGTAGTAGAGTGGATGGCAGGTGAATTACTGTTCCCCCAGGACCGGGTGCAGCTGGACAGGCCCAGGTGTGCATGGCTGGACCCTGAGGATTTCAGGACCCAGGCCAGCGTCCCCCAGACCCAGCGGGCAGCAGGCGAGGCAGGAGCAATTCTGAATCTGCAGCCCCGCCTCGGAATCCTAGCGCTTGCAGCCATCCGTCATCCTGGGAGAGCATCGCAACTTTATGCCTACGCATAAAAACTGGAGGGACTTGTCCCAGAGTTTGCTGCTGCTGCTGCCGCCGCCGTTAGAGCGGTTTTAATTAGCTGCAGGATTTTAATGAGCTGAAATCAAGAAGAGCCCCATCTCAGAAGTAAGCTGGAGCCGCACACATGGAAGAACTAGTCTGACAAAACAGATGGAGGTGGTACTCTCGGGGGACCGGGCTGTGTACTCCGATCAGCGAGGAGCAGATGAGTTTCTGAGGCCAGGAGGCTGGGGAGGGAAGCCAGGGGTCAGCTGCCCGTGCCCGGCTCCGGCGAGGGAGGGGAAGAGCTGGGCGCCAGGTCCCCGAGGCTGCCGCGGCAGAAGGCACGGTGCCGGATTCAAGGTGACGGCAGTGCCTGGCTCCATTCTCCTCAAGTTGCCATAGCAGCCTCTCTCCCAACGAGCAGCTTCTCCTGGAGCCCTCAGCCGGGAGGGACGTCATTGTTCGCTCCTGCCCGTGTGACGAGAAAGACGGACAGAGAACTTTCCTGGGCCTGGGGCCCACTGACCACGTGGGTGCACCCAGGCTGTCTGGATCGGGATGCTGGGGTGGCTTCCCACAGCCAGAGGGTCCTCTGGGTGACGGTGGCCAGTGTCCAGGCCTTGGAGCAGCTGCAGTCAAGCGTGTCCTTGGAGCCGTCTGAGCGTCAGGCTGTCGCCACTGGAGGTGCGTGTATTTTGGCCCGATTCCCAAGTCCTTGCTTGTGCCCTGAAGTCAATGTCTTCAAAATGACAAAAATTTAAATCAGATAAATAAGGAAATGGGAGGAATCATTGACCCTGCCCTGTGTCCCAGGAGGTGTTTACAAGATTAATTGGATCCTTTTTCCTTCTTAAAGTAAAAATTGGCAATGCCACCCAGGCCTTGGGGAGAGAAGCTGCTGGGAGGACTAGGAATTTTGAGAAGGGCAGGTGGCTCCCGAAACTCAAAAGGACTGTGTGTTTTTCCTGCCTTAAGCCTCCTCCTTCTCTACCCCTAATCATTTGAATTTTCTTATTGTTTTTCAGTCTCAGAAAGGATGAAGGGAGGTGAGGGGGAATTGCACTTGTCACTGGAGCTGATATGATGTCATGTGTGGTGAGGATGGGACAGTCTCAAGTGGGAGCTGAGTCCTGATAGGGCGCTGGGACAGCCAAGCCCTGGTCTGTGACGGATTACAGCATCTAACCCCAGGCAATAGCTTGATTGAAAGAGGTGGAGAAAATGGCTTTGGACTAGCATCTCCCCATTGTCTTGAAAATATCTTGTGACTTTGTAGAAAAGAACCCTCAAGGGAACAATGCGGGGTGAGGCCCACGGCACCTGCAGTGTGAGTCTCTGGCCTGTCAGGGACTTTCCATCCACCTTTGGGACATGTCACCTTTGGGACAAGGAGTCTTGTGCAGATTCTAGAATTTTTGCCCCCTCCTAAGGCGTGACAGACCAGCTAGGCTTGCAGGCTGGTTATCCAGGAGAGGCGGGCTGATCTTTTGAGGAGTGAGCTGGTCACATGGTCCCCAGTGAGAGCAGACCCAGAGAAGAGGGTTCCCAAGGGAAAGACTGGGGTCTGGGGCTTAGGGGCTTGGACAGAGAAGCCACAGGGTGCTCTAACCCCAGCTTCCTGACTGTGGCCAAGGTGCTTGTGTTCTCTGGAGGTTCTCGGAAGTGACAGAGGTGCACAGTTGATTCTCCTGTTGCAGTGAAGGTGCGGGGCAGGGTACAGTGTTCTCTTCCTCACCAGATTTGGGGGCAGGGATGTGATCCTTGTCCTAGCTACCAGGCATGTGGGTGGTTGGAGCCTGGCTCCGTGTGGTGGGTTTGATGTGAGCAAGGTTCAGAAAGCTAAGATAGGTCACAGCTGTAGGGACCCATTAGTCATCGACAGGGGAAGTCTGTATCAGCTCAAATGGTGACAGTGTGACAGAAGACTGGGGAGGGGAGGGCCGACCAGCTTCCTGTAGCCACATCTGTAGCACCAGCTATTAAACAAACACGATGACGATCACACATGCTTCTGAGACCCCTTTGTTCATCATATGGAGTCTTTGGGCAGATATTGGGGGTCACATTATTCGCTATTTTGCCAGGCAGCTCATATGCTAGCTATCATTTATCATTTCTTCTGTCCTTCCTGCCTCCATCCCTCTCTCCTTCCTTACAAAAGGTCTTGATGTCCACAGTTACCCATTCTCAATCAAATTGGCTGCCTGCTGTCTGGCTCAGGAGGCCAACGTGGCTGCACAAAGATTGTCAACACTATGGCCAGCTGGGGCCTTGCTGGGGACCATTGATGGTGTGTGTGTGTGTGTGTGTGTGTGTGTGTGTGTGTGTACGCACATGTTCAGGAACTTGCCAGTACACACCAAGGCGTGTGTGTATACGTGTTAGTGTGCATGTGCCTGCTCATGCCCGGGGCTGGGTGCATATATAAATGTGTCCAGAGAGGCCTTGAACTGCCTTTCCTGTTCCCTGCCTGAGGATCTGACCTCCACTGCATCAGTGTGAAATGTCATTTCCACCCTTCTATCTTCTTTCCAAGGTTGCCTGGGCATCCTGAGGGGCTCAGCCAACTGCTTGTGGCAGGCAGAGCCAGGGAAAGAGAGAGGAGATCCACCTCTGCCTTAGTTGCTCATGTTCCTCCAGGAGCTGGAGGCTGGCAGGGGGCTGCTTGGAATGGCCTTGTCTTTCAGTGACATCAGAAACCTGCACTGTGCACCTGTGTCTCTGCAGGATGATGAGTCAGACCCCCAGTAGGGTTCCATCCAGGGCCATCATGGAGGAGGAGAGGCCCTGGCTCCACATGAGGAGTTTCTGGGTCTGAACTTTTGGGGACATATGGCTCTCCATTTTTACCCACTGCAAGCAGGGCAGGGTTGGCCCTGGTTGATGGCAGGAAGTGGCAGTCCTTTATTTTTCCCCACTGAGGTCAGGGCCTGCAGGAAACTCCAGAGCCAGCTCCTGAGACAGAACGAGCCCAGCTCAGCGCTGCCTCAGAACATAAAAGCTGGGAGATCGTGGGAAGCACCTGCTCGGCGCAGTCCAGGGAGCCCTGCGCCAGGCGCCTACAGGCCTAAGGCAGGTTAATTAAAGTTAACTGAGTGAAAAAATAATTACAGAGACTGCAGAGGGAGGAAACCCAAACCTGCAGTCTATACTCCTCAGCCCCTGAACTTTCCTGAGAAGCATTCTCGTCCTTGGGAGCGTTTTTTTTGGGGGGGGGCAGGGGAGAAGGGAGGGCCTCCTTCTATCACCTTCTGCCTCACCCTCCAGAGGCTGGACACACAGACAGTGGTGGGGGCTGTTTCCCCCATCTCAGTGCCTGGGTAGGGAGACCTCCTTGGTCGAGGAGCACTTCTGGTTTGGGGCCAGACCAGCTACCTAACTGTGGTCTTGGAGGCTGCTGGGAGCTGCCCATGTGCCTCAGCTTCCCGTGGGCACTGCCCTGTGCTAAGATGGTGAAGTTCCCTTGCAGACTCTTTGGGTGGAAGGCAGAGGCGGGCTGATCTTTTGAGGAGGCTCAGGCCAGTAGAACTGGATGAAGGTAAAGGGACACAGGGTCTTTCTAAGGGGAGGTGCCCAGGACACCCGCATCCTGTCCAGCCTGGCCATCTGTGCACCTGTTCCTCAGCGCATCCTACTCCACCATGCCCACCCCTCTGAAGGAACTTATGTCCCTCCTTTGGGCAAATGGCCTTGGGGTGCTTCTATCTTGATCCATAGCCTGACCTAGGTGGGGATCACAGATTGATATGTGGGATATTGGGCATTTCTTCTGCTTTTTAGGAGAAATCAGGGTGAGGGACAAGTGACATGAGCCTGATTTGGGTCTGCAGGGGCCAGAAAAGCAGGCAGGAAGAGAAGAGCCGTTACACTCAGCCTCTGATCTTAAGTCTGGGATCTGAAGGTGGTAGATCTGACTGCCCCACCTCAGCTCCAAGCCAATTTCCTTGAGTGTTGGAACAACCAAGGAGTGGCCAGAGCTTCAGCTACTGCTGGTGTGACTATCCAGCAGGGCCATTTGTCTGTCTGCCAGCTGTGAGGACAGCTCTGCCCGATGTGGGGGAATTGATCTATGTCTGAGCATCCCCTGGCTCTGGAGCCTCCTGCTCCATGGAGACCCGTGTCCCAACACCCTCTAGAGAGGGGCCAGAGTATAGGCAGATCTATGCACTGGACCAGTTGCCAGGGATAAGGCCCCATATTCCTGCCTGTACCTAGACCCCTGCAGGGGAGCACACATACTCATTGGGAGGCTCAAGGAAGTTTTGGACAGTGCCAGAGGGTGTCCACTGGTCCTCAGCTGTGGGTCTTCAGGCTCCCCTCTGAATTCCCAGGCTTCAGTAGGAGAATGTCTCTCTCCGTATGCTCCATATGCATGCTGAGAGTACAGATACAGGAGGCCCTGATAGCATCCAGTGTCCTGACCATACGTGGCAATAGAACTTCCTTCAGCCTCCATCAGCTTGAAAAGGTGCAAGGGGCACACCTCAGTTCCTGGGGTCGAGCGGGGGATCTGATTACACGGGGTTACTGCAGTGACTAGGACCTCAAAATCCTGCAACTCAGAGGTGATTCTTTCTCCCCCTCTGCCCTGTAGACCTCAGCCTGATGGATGCCGGATTTGGACGATGAGGGAAGAAAGTGCCTCCCACACCCAAGAGGTGACCCCTGAGTGTGCCCTGGATGACCCTGCGACCTGGCACAATGCGGCTGGCCTGCATGTTCTCATCCATCCTGCTGTTCGGAGCTGCAGGCCTCCTGCTCTTTATCAGCCTGCAGGACCCCACGGAGCTCGCCCCCCAGCAGGTGCCAGGTGAGCCCTTGCATTTGTTCCTGTTGTCACTGGCCTCTACTTTCCCACCTGGGGTGCAGGCCTCCGTGGCTGCCCTGGTGTGCTGGGTTGGGGGACGAGAGTCCCAGCAGGCAGAGGAGGGGTCCTGTCCTCCCACTGGTGGGCATCTGTGTCAGTATGGGACCACTCTGTCTGATGTCCAGTCACCAACCTCAGGGCTCTGGCCTCTGGCATCCATAGCAATAAGGTGTCCCCTCTTGGGGATGATGATGAGGTACCCATCTGTTCAGCCAGGTGTTGCCTTTGGTGAAACTCGGATTTAAGGATGATTCTGCCACCTCTTGGGACACTAGTCACTTTCCCTATAGATCCTGTGAATCTGGCCCCTATGGCTTGCAGAACACCTGGCTTTGTGAGGCCCAAACCCACCCATGCTGCCTGCCTCCTATCCCCACTGGGCCTTGTGACCCACTGAGGAAGATGGTGCCCTTCCTGAGGCACCCTTCCTGAGGTCTTCTGGGGACAAGTGGCATGGTGAGAGCCTGAGGGTGGTTCTGGCATCTCAGTGTGACCAAATATGGAGACAGAGCTCTGCAAGGTCCCTCCACCTCTGCACATGGCAGGGCTGCAGGTCATGGGCATAGGACCAAGGCCAGAGGCTGCTCTGCTTTGGAGTGAGAGGAAGGTGGGGCTCCAGGCATCAGCATCAGCGAGTCTCAGCAGCAGCTTCTGTTAGAAGAGGGTCCAATCCTACTCCCAGTTCACATGGTCCACAACATGGGCACACTGATGCACCCCCAGATAACCCTCCTTCCAGGAGACCCGTGCATATACCCCACTTGCTCAGGGCTCTGATCCAGGGACAGGATGGAAGAATTGTGGAAGCCAGAGGTTTAGGTTTTCTGTGCCACCTCCTGCCTGCGACCTGTAGCATGGAATGGGGGTGCTTGGCCTAGGATCGCCTGGTCTTGGCGAGAGCTGGGGTACCCTGTCTCCAGGCCACCTCTGCCGTTCCACCATCTGCTCTCCAGATTCAGGCTCTCTGAGCAGAATTGCAACCCTTCCTCTGTGCATGTCCCCATTGTTTCACGTCTACGAACAGATTGAAGACCGTGGGCACCAGGAAGGAGGCCAGAGCCCACTCAGGCCCAGAAGCTGCTGACAGAGTGAACCAGGCACAATGAGCAGCACCTTTCCTCACGAGAAAGAATGAGAGGCAGGAGACAGCCAAAGGGCCACAGTGCTGACGTTCCTGACCCGACCCCCTTAGCCGGGGGCTGTCTCAAGTCTGTCTGTCTGCTCCCTGTCTTGTGAGGAAGCAAGTGTGCCTGACCAATCTGGCTCCTCTGGGGACTTTGCAGCCTCTCAGGAGCCCTATAAGAGTGGATGACTCTGTCGGTGAAGCAGTGCGCCATAGGATGGTGCCATCAGGGCAGACTGAGTTGGTCCCGTGGTTTTTGTATTATCTGTGCCAAAGCAAACTGGTGAGGGGAGAAGGGCACTTGAATACTGCTTGGGGTAAAGGGCGCCGTGTATCCTTGGTGCATGCCCTGGTGTGCGTGTTTGGGGATGCACACATGGACAGAGGTTCCAGATGCCCAATGTCCTGCATTCTGTGGGAGGAGCCAGGAAGAGAATGTCTGAGTGTATCTGTGGCATTCCCCTGGGACAAGGGCATGGATCAGTGGTCCACTTCTGGGACAGGTGGTATATTCCCATTTGGGTATGCGCCTTGGTGGCCCCAACATTTGCCCTATTGTGGTGCAGACAGCTGGTAAAGCAGAGCACTTGCTTCTACAGGCAGTGGATTCTTGTCCCTCGTGACAGTTGCCGGTGTGCCCTGCCCAGCTGTGCAAGTACACAGATGTGTGGATTAAGGGTGGGTGAGGGCCCATGGGGTGGCATGCTCAGAGAAGAGCTTGGAGCCCCAGGCAGGCAGGACACATAGGATGGTGTGAAGCTGAGGTGAGCAAGGAACACAGAGTCAGGCAAGGAACACGCTTGGGTCCTGAGCCATGTTCTTCTGTTGGTAAATGCAGGTGGACCACTCTCACCAACGGCCACGTGACAGGCAACTTTGACGTTCTAGGTAAATCACACCAAACACAGTCATAAAACTTTAAGTAATGCTTACGTTACTTTCCCCGAGCAAAGTGCTCCTGACACAAGCTGTTTGTGTTGATTTGTTACTATTCATTTATTCTTTCCCTGTACTTCTCACAGCAGCCTAATTGTGATTCGGTACCAAGAAAGCAATATCAAAGTAATTTTCCACAACATTAGTTACAATTTTCTTCTGATCTTTCAAGTGAAACAATCCCATCCTGTTGGCTTCTCTGAGCATATAAACCTTGATTACATTTATCTGTTGGAAACCAGTGCTTACAAAGTGTATATGTCCAGTTGCATGGCTGGGTGGCCCCAGGGGCCCTGACAAGCCTTCTTCCCATGGGCTTTTGTCCAAGGGAGGTGCAGACTAGGGAGGCTGCCCTGCCGTCGGGATTGGCAAGGCCACTTGGGGAGCCCCAGTCTACAGAGGAAAATCCACGTGGCGTCATAAATTTTCTTGTGAATGGATGGCGTTCTCTGAACTCTGTCATTGGTTACGTCACGAAGGTGGGAGGAGGAGGGTGGGCAGCTGAAAATCCAGGAACCAGCTTGAGAAGGTGATGGGCATTCTGTGTTGCTTCCAATCCCTCAGGGTCTGGCACCAGTCAGATTTCACCAGTGCAGCTACCAGATGTTAGTAAGTAGCTCCTAAACTTCTTATGGGCCAGCCCACCTCGCCTGGGTAATACATTGTTAGGTGGAATCGTACACAGTTGCCAACTTTTGTAAGTCATGTTATGTTTTTTTTAAAAACTCATTTTTTGCTATATTTTCTTTCTTTTTTTTAGGGGTTAGTAGCAGGGATTGGACACAGGGGCACGCAACCCCTGGCCACATCCCCAGCCCTATTTTGTATTTTATTTAGAGAAAGGGTCTCACTGAGTTGCTTAGCGTCTCACTTTTGCTGAAGCTGGCTTTGAACTCTCAATCCTTCCGCTCAGTCTCCCAAGTTGCTGGGTTTACAGGCATACACCACCGCGCCCAGCTGCTATATTTTCCATCAGTATATTTGAAACAGGGATAGCTATCTCTTAACCAACCTGCATTCTAAGATTTTCTTGCCTATCAGAGAATTTTACTTATCCCATTACAAATATTTTCCAGTTTTCAATATTGCAAGTTACTGAGTTCAGGGCTTCTGCCCTCAGGAAGTTCATTTCTTGTCCCAAGAGTTAAAACTCATCCCTTTTTCCAGAGAAAAAACTCAGGCCAGAAGTGGGAGCCAGCCCTCTGACTCTGGGGACTGGAGAAGGCAGAGTTCATTCACATTCACTTGGGCAAACTGAATTTTATGAACCACCTTTCTCCATGAACTTTTTCTGCAGAGAGTTTGAGTAGAATGGTAATAGATTAGAATAGTACAGTAAACCCCATGTATGTGTCACCCAGCCCTCCCAACCTGGCTGGGCCACTGTATTATCTGTATTCCTCCTTCTATCTGATTTTTAAACCTATAAACAGAAAGCAGATCAGTTCATTCATAAATATTTCAATGTTTCTAAGTTCAAAAGAAAAGAACTCCTTTTTTTTTTTAGCTTTACCACTAAACCATCCAATGATTCCTTAATAACATCAAATTTCTAATCATCTCAGAAATATAAATCCGCTTTTTTTCCATTTTGTTTTATCCAGAATCCAGATAAGGCCACACATTACAGTTAATCAATGAGTCTTTACATCTCGTCTTTTTCTTTTATTGTGCTGGGGATTGAGCCCAGGGTCACTTAACCACTTAGCCAATCCCCAAGCCCTTTTTTAATTTTTTGTTTTGAAACAGGGTCTCACTAAGTCCTCAGGGCCTCACTAAGTTGCTAAGGTTGGTCTCAAGCTTGCAATCCTCCTGCCTTAGCCTCCTGAGTCACTGGGATCACAGGTGTACACCACCAAGCCCAGCCCTTTATTCTTGATAGTCTCTACAAATTAGACAAATCTTGTGAACTGGTCTGATGTAGGTTTGGGGTTTGAGTTTTGTTTGTTTGGTTTTTGGCAAATATTTACACGTGCGTCTGTGTTCCTCTATCAGGAGGTTTATATCTGCCAGGTTCTCTTTTGCTGTCCAAGAGCCATTGATGGTCTGTCCTAGGACCGTTCTTCAGGCATTCCAGAGGCCTGTGTTCTCACTTTATCATTCTTCTTCATTCTTTTAAGTGGAATGGATTTTGTTTTAATGGGGCCAGGCGAATCATTGTTAGTGACCCATGAAACCAAAGTGAATGGTGGATTGATTGGTTGATTGATACATAAAACAATAGCACCTTCTGGTACAGCTTCTGTTGCACACACTATAAATATATTTCTTCTTTTTCTCCTCCTCCTCCTCCTCCTTCTTCTTCCTCTTCCCCTTAATTTTTGGATTTTGCAGTGTGAGTTTTCTTAGGGTGGGGCAACCCAGGTTTCAGGGCTCTTTGCTCTTTCTTGGAGTCGAGGAACTAAGGGCGGGTGCTGAGATGTCAGCCCTGGTGAACAGTAAAGCTCCCTCTCGGGGACTCCTGGTGCAGACAAAGGGAATGGACAGCCCCTAAGGACACCTCTGTCTGAAGCGTGCCCCTGGGACATTCCTTGCAGGGCACAAGAGCATTCTCAGATCATAATAATAATAACTACATTGATGGAACATTTACCATGTGCCAGGTCTTTCTTGTGCTAAGCGCCATACAGGTTTCAATGCATATGATTCTTATACACGATTTCTGCTTACAGTGTGCTGAGAGCTTACTGGGTCAGACATGGAAGCCATGACAATACAAAGGCTCTCAGACCCTCACCATGTGCTCGGCACCATCACAAGCACTTTACATGTATTTAGTACCATTTAATACTTTAAACCCCTCATAACTTAATTACCATTTTGTCATTTAACAGTAGATGAAACTACTAAGGTCAGAGAGGTTAAGAACAATACCCAAGCCACA